AAAATACAGCCTTAATTACTACAAGATGTTTGCTGAGTTAGGAATTTCACAAAAGAATTGCAGTGAATTCTGGTACCTGTGGGGTGTGATGGGCTACTGCTTAGCTTTGATTTTGTGGTAAAGACAGGCTGGTGGTTTTACAACTGCTTAAAACTTAACTGAACAGTTATTCAAACTCCTGAAATGTATATAACCTAAAGTCAAAAGAAATAGAATAAAATCAGCAATATTCTCTAGCTTGAGAAGAGAGATCTTTAAAAGCTACTGACAGAAGTCAGGCATGAGAATCATTACATGATTGGTGTTGTTGAAAGATTGTAAAAATCAGATACAAATTATAAATATAAACATTGCTATAGTTAGTGTTCTGGAAAGAGCCAGCCCTCCTCCCCTCCCTGGGTTCTTCCTTTTAAGATTTAGAATGCATGATGTTGCCTGGAGCAAACCATCAGAAATGCAGAGCTATCTTCTTATTCAGTGTTTGTTTGTTGGGTGAGTTTGGGCCATATCAAATGACATCTACAGTTGAAGAGGTATACTGCAGGTCACTGAAAAAAATCAAATACACTGAGATAGCTTGGAGACTAACACATTTATTGTGACCTAAGAATTCTGAATTAAGCATCAGATGATACAGGCCATTGCCTACAAAAGCAAGTCTAATCAACCATATGTTTGAAGGAGCAGGTTCATATTTTCAGAGTTCTCCTTAGTCCATCTTTGTCACTTGAGGCTCAGGTGGGCTCAATGCCATGACAGTGCCTTCTACCAGCTTTGGCTGGTCACCCAGCTATGCCCCTATGTGGCCAGGGACAACCTGGTTTCAGCAATCTATGCTTTGGTAATCTCTGAATTAGATTACTGCACTCTACCTGTGACTGCCCTTTAATGGCTTTTCAGCAACCACAACTCATGCAGGTAGCTTAATAACTGGGACCTGTAGGTATGGATATGTAAGACTAGTTGCAGCCTACTAGCACTGGCTGCCTGCCTGCATGCTTCTGAGCCCAATTCAATGTGCTAGTTCTGTCCTATGAAGTCAAACATAGTTTACAACCACAATAACTGGCAAACTGCCTCTCCCAACCAGAATGTACATGGACCCTATGCTCAACATTGTAAGCCATGTAGAGAGCCTAGATATGGACTATTGTAGAGGCATATAAATCCATTAAAGATGATGACGATGCATCTAGAGTCTTCTTCCAAGTGCCAACTTAAAGGGAGGCTCAAAGGTCAACAACAAGTGGGAGGACCTTCTCTATGGTGACCTCCATCTATAGAATTACAGCCCCATTGCAGCCTGCCCAGCACCAACCTTGTTATGTTTTTGGCAACAGGTTAAGATGGCTCTTTATGGTGGGGCTTTTAAAGATATATTAGTATATCTAAGGGCTTGAGAAAATTACCCATCCCAGATGTTTTTTACATTGTATTTTTAAAATGATTCTTAATTTTTTTGTTTAAAATGTTTGTATTTTTATAAGATTTTATGGCATTTTATTGCATTCCATTCTATTATGTTGTTTTTATGAACAGATGTAAACTGTCCAGAGAGCTCCAATTACTGTGTAGTATAAAAAGAAAAAAATGATAATTATTAATTTTATTAAATGTATTATTGCTTGCTGTTGCCAAAGCAATATCATAACACATCAGTACTGCCTTCCAAAGCTGACAATGGCCAGATTACTGGCCATTTCAGGTTCAGAACCTGAAATCACAGCAGCGAACAAATGGGCTCTTGAGGCCATTGACTTCTTGCAATTAGGTTCCATAAATTCCTATGCCTAAATTTAGATCACAGCATGTCACTGCACATTTCTGTGTGTCAGTCACGCGAAAAGTAGCATCAGATGTCGGCAGTGATATATTTTTAGGATAGTTTTCACCCTTGCAGGCAGTCTTAATGGGGAAAAAAACCCCAGTACCTTTGACTTTCAGGTCAGAGAGCAGTAATGAAGTTCAATCGCTAACTGAGACCACTGAGGGTGATAAAACAAATTTGTTCACCCTCCTCCTCGCACATAACATGAGTTGGATGTCAATTAGTCACGACCAACTTAGTTTCCACTAAATGGTCTACTCCAAGCAGTACTAAATCTGAATACAACTCCAGTGTGGCACCCTCATCACCGTATCATAGAATCAGAGAGTTGGAAGAGGCCATGAAGGCCATCGAGTCCAACCCCCTGCTGTTGCAGGACACCACGTTACACCATCCCACTCAGATGGTTGTCCAGTTTCTTTTTAAATGTCTCTAGTGTGGGAGAGCCCACCACCTCTCTAGGCTGCTGGTTCCATTGTTGTATTGCTCTGACAGTGAGGAAGCTTTTCCTGATATCTAGCCTGCATCTGACTTGTTGCAACTTGAATTGATTATTCTGTGTCCTGCACTCTGGCATCAGCAAGAAGAGATCTTGACCTTCCTCTTTGTGACAGCCTTTGAGGTACTTGTAGAGGGATATCATGTCCCCCCTAGAGTCTTCTCAAGGCTGAATATGCCCAGTTCTCTCAGTCTCTTCTCACAAGGCAGTGTTTCCAAACCCTGGATCATTTTTGTTGCCCTCCGCTGGACCCTTTCTAATTCACCTGCATCTTTCTTAAATCTTGGTGCCCAGAACTGGACACAGTATTCCAGGCAAGGTCTGACTACTGAGGAGTATAGAGGAACTACTACTTCTCGTGATTTGGAAGTAATATTTCTGTTTTGCATCCCAAAATAGCATTTGCCGTGATCGTTCCCAATCTACAACCACCCAAATAATGAGGGAAGAGCCAACTCACCCGCTTCCCGCGCGTGGTTCTCCGGGAAGCCGCACCGAGAGCAAATAAAGACCCGCCGTGGCCGTTCCCAGGACCAACGACAACCCTCCCAGCGACCGCATAGCGGAATATTCACAATGGCCTCCGAAAGGGCCAACAGAAAAGCTGGAACTAGGAGCACCAAGCGCAGGGAATAAGTCACTTGCACACGAGAGAAACGGACCCTAAGCGAGCCCGTCGACTAAAAGCGGCAGCCGTGACGCGCAGCCGGAACTTCCTGTACAGCTCGCTAACCGTTATGGCAGCCACCAAGGTTTTCTACAGGATGAGTGGCGACACTCTACCCTTATACATTTCTATGGTGAGAACGCTCTTGAAAAGTTTTGCGTACGGGAGATTTAGGGCTGTGATAGAGTATCTTCAGGCCCATTCTCCCCTTCGCGGTACCCACGAAGTTCAGGTCTCTTTTCTTCCGACTCTGCCTTTCTTCATTTGTGCATAAGAAGGAGGCTGGTCATTTTACTTTGCAAGGGTTGTCCAGAACAGCAACATGATTTATGACCTAATCTTGCAGGAGCAAACCCATATATACATCCAGCCTGACACAAACTGAGAATTGAGGAACAGCCCCCCCACACACACACACACCACGTTAATATATTACATTTCTATACGTCCCATTAGCCGAAACAATAAAACACAACTTGGTAAAATACAGTGTAAGCCTTTAAAACTAGAGTTAAAAGTAAAACAAAACCTAGGAGCAGTGCAACAATTTAAAACACAACATATTTAAAATACCAGGAACAGAAATACTAAAATGCATAGGGGCCAGACAAAGTTGGAGACAAAGGTGAATAGAACAACTTATGACAGAGAACTAAAAAAGCAGCTACGAGAGCAATCTTAGGCAAGCTTAGAATTAAAAAAAAAAAAAAGCCTATAACTCCCAGCATGTCCCAGTCACATACTAGGAACTGTAGGCTTTTTTTTTTAAACTATCGGAGCGTGTCTAGGAATATTCTTTGAGAAACCCGTTTTTCTAGGCTCTCTTCTTTTTGGTTAAAAACAGCTTTCGTCAGTGGTTACGCGACTGTCGCTAACCAATGACGTACTTCCGGGCTAGCGTTTGCAGCTGAGGCCTATGTACAAATGGGCGTTAGAGTTTCTGCGTTCTTGGTTGTTTTCATCTTCCTCCTGCCGTCAGGACGTGGAACCTTCGCTCCCTCCATCGCGGAAAAGGCGACATCGCAGGTGAGAGACCCGGACATTGAGGGAGGGTTTGGGCGTCTGGTTCGTATCCCGAGGTGCAGGCTGGGCCTAAGCTGGCCGTCCCTACCAAGAGGACTTTGCTGTCCAGTTTACCTCAGCTCACGGGCCGGAGCATGGCTTGTTGGTTCTCAGATAGCTATAGCCGAGAGACGCCAGTCCTAAAATAGTCTCCATTTTCCCATGGAGGGCGAAAGAGAGAGAAATGCCCGAATGTTTTGCGAACTACCGGTTCTGGCGACCTCCCAGCCCCGCTGGACTCCAGCCATATTTTCCAAAGCCGCTTTTCTTTGTGTTGCACTTGGAGTCTCAGGAACCTTCAAGCTAACAAGGCAGTGTGCAGGTGAAGGCAGCACGCTGTCCTGTGGAAGCACAGAATGCAGGCATGGACGTTGGCCTTTGCCTAAAAACTCCTTCTTGGGGGGCGGGGGGTAGAGCCACCATTGATAGCCTTCTCCTCCATAAATCTGTCCAGTCCAAATTGGCGACAGCCTGCGACAGGGAATTCCATAGTTTACCTATGTGCTGTGGGAAGAAGTATTTCCATTTATTCATCTTCCCACCAGTTGGCTTCATGGGATGACCCCAGGTTCATGTATTATGGGACAGGGAGAAATGTTGTAACCATTCTTCATATGGGAGTTGCTCTAAAACTTTCATCATTTTCATTGACCTTTTCTGCATTTTTCCCAACCTAATATTGCCCTTTTTAAAATAATGTGAGCAGAACTATGCATAATATTCTAAATGAAGTTGCACCAGAGATTTGCATAAGGGAATATGAACTTGGTAATTCCTTTCCTTTCCACAGAGTTTGTGTTTTTTTCACAGCACCTCTGCACTGGGTCAACATTTTCATAAAGCTATGAAACTACAACCCAAAGATCCCACCAGCCTATTATTTATTATATTATCCTACCTTTTCTCCTTTCAAAGAACTCAAGGCAGCTTACAAAATTCTGTTTCTCATAATCTTACCCTCACAGCAACAGCCCTATGAGGTAGGTTGGGTTGAAAGTCTGTGACAGGCCCAAAGTCACCCAATTAGTTGCATGACTGAGTGGGGACTAGAACCCAGATCTCCAGAGCCAGATTTTCATACTTTCAACCACTATGCCACACTAGATCTATAAGCCTATACTTGTAATTGGGATTTCTTGGCATTTTCTGCCACTTTAATGCCAGTTCTCCCAGCTGCATTGATGTACATTGCTGTCATAGCAGAAACTTTCTAGTTTATAGATATGTGTACCAGTTCAATGATCAGTGTGATGTCTGTAGTAGCTAAGAAGATGATGCTTTTGTGAACAGGTATGACACATTTAAGCAGACTGTATATCTCCCTTTTATTACATCATATTCCTTGTTTCTTAAATGAGTTTATTCTTTTCACAGTATTCTTTTATTCTTTTTCTTTTCACAGTATCCAGTCACATGTAGAAAACTCTGATCAGGAGCAAGCAAAAAGGCAAAAACTCGGTAATGCCTGTTCAGTCACCTCTCATGTGACTGAAATGTTTTGACTTGGGAGCAGAAGATGTTAGTTTTGAGAGCTGTCTGTTATCACGTCAGCATAGATCTTTAAATAAATCTTTTGCACTGCCTTCCTGCAGAGATTTCAAACCTTTTCCTGGAAACGCATTCTTTAATATCCAAAACCTACAAATAAGAGAGGAGGGTCTCCATTTATTCCATTTTTTAAAAATGTAAACATGGGGTGTTGGTGTCTATAAATTCATTTTGACAAGAACAAAAGGCTAATTTATTCAAATATCATCTATAAACTTAATGTGGGGATATTTTTCTTACCTGTGGAAGGTAGCATGTTAGTCTTGGTTTAAATGGTATCTTTAATTAGATAATAGGCAGACCAATATAGTACAGTACAAAACAGAAAAGTAGCTATCCAAAAAAATCTCGGATTGGGATGCCCCTCTGTTCATACCCAGAAAAGAGATTTACCAGATAGGACATACTATCCCATCTAGAGAAAGTGAACAGAGTGACTTCCTGGAAGGGAGATTAAACAAAAAGTATAGTTGTAGAAAACGCCAACCCAATTCAGAAACCATGTAAGATTCTACTGTTCTAAAATGTTCTGAAGGACTGTGGCAAACTTTGTCCAAGATTCAATTTTTTCATAGAATTCTGGAGATTTATTCAGTTTACTGTGCTATAAATACCTTCTGTGGGGGAATGATCTCAGAATGCCATTATGGCATCAGAGTCTTTACAGAATAGTTTCCTGGCCTGATGCATAGCTGGATCAGAATAATTCTTGAATTATTGGGTCAGAATAGCCTTGGAAACTTTGTTTTAATGTGCCCTCTCCTTAAGTACCCTAGACATTGACATCTTGGTACTCTCAATATACACTTTCCATCCCCTCCTTACTTGTTCTACTTTCTAATTAATGAGAAGCTAAAGCAAGAGCAAGCTAACTTGTCTTCATAAATATAATCTTGTTTTCATAAATAGGCGACAGTGTTCTCTGATGCCTTTTGGGGCTAGAGTCTATCTTCTGTAATATTAATACATGTGAGAGCTGCTTTGATGACTTTTTCATTTATTTGTATATACAGTAATACTTAAATTGGATTTATTTAAATATGCAGTCATATTTTAGTTGAATTTGTAAGGGTTTTTCTTATAACAACCATTACAAATATGGAAGGGAAGTAAAATGCTGAGTAAGAATTACTGAGTAACAATAATAGTATTAAATGATATTGCATATACAAAACAAAAAATTCTGGAAGAGGTGGCCTCTTTAAGCATATATGTTAGTATGTGCAGTTCAGATATGTATATAACATGGCTGGGAGCTATTTTCTATTGTATGCTCAAATGTAAAGAGCATTATGGTTTTCTGTTTCTAGCATTCCATCAGACAGATCCCATAATATAGAACTATAATTCAAAATTATTTGCATGTCTGTAAGTGTCTGGACTGTTTCTAGTACAAAACTGATAGGCAAAATAACTGCCCAGAAGGGGACAACCACAAGAAGATATGTTTCTCTTTTGAATATGATAATGTTTTTACCACATGAAATTCAGGATATGGGTCTCCCATTAGTCCAAATTCCAAAGTTCCCAGCTAGATGGAATGTAATCTTACTATGTTTACATTTTCTAGGTATTCTTTGTACAGTGACCCAGGGGCTTGCCAGTCTGATTAAACTGCCATCCCTGTTGACAGCTAAATCTCTTCAGGTTGAAGATCAACATGCAGAGGCTGCAGATATGGTTTGTTTGCATTTTGAGAATAGATTTGAAAACTTGATGTGTGTATTCAAGCCAAATTATGTCCATGGGACTGCTGTCTTGTTTTCTCTGAAATGGCAATACCATTAAATGTACTTGAGTGGGAAGAAATCTGAAGATTAGGTTTTCCTCTTCTACCTTACCTCACATGGTCATTCTGCTGCGCAGTTTTCTTCTCTCTCTCCCTGTCCACAGATTCTTCCAAAGGAATAGACCCAGGCTAAACAAGAACTCTTTCTGCAGATCCTTCAAAGAAAGTATAAGGTCTGCATAAATGGAATGCCATAAGAAGTGGCCAAACAGTACTGGACAGGGAGAAAAGGATCATTAGTTGTTCACTGTAATACAGGGAGGCACATTTCCTACTCTGATATGTGTTGCAAGGGTATCGTGGCAGGTAAGGGATGTGCTGGTGTGTGTTCTGAGCTAAAGCAGGTTTGTTGCCCTTCTGGGTAGGTAGCAACTGGAGGGGTCTATGGAAAAAGGTGTTTCAAACAGTCGTGGTAGCGAGGTGCCATGTTACATGTTCATGTGCAACTTTGAACTTGTAAGTTCAGGGTTGTGCTTATGGTGACACTACGTTAATTCTTTGAATGAAAATGTTCCCCTCTCTGGAATGTTTCTTCAGATGTGGATGAAAGTCTGATTCTTATAATTCAATTAACTTACATCTTAAGAAGACCTCAAATTTTTGAGAAGGTACTGGTGTGAATGAACATAAAAGTTGCAAATTAATTTTAATATGTTGGAATTACTTTACAGTGAATGTCTGCTAGTATGCTTTTTAAAATTGGTGTATCCACTCTGAGGACAAGGTATTGATGTAGGTGGTTGTGAAATGCAATAAATACTAACCTGTCCAATAAAGTAAAACATACAGGCTTAAGCAATTCGTTCCAGGTAGACTGAACAATTTTGTGCCCTTGTCATTGGTGGCATAGAATGCTAGAATGTGGATTTGGCAGAGGGTGGGGTAGAATTTAGTGAGTAGATGGCAGTATTACATGAAACTTTTTTGTTCTAAGCCAAAGTAAGGCCAGTAGAAGCATAGCATGAGTTTTGTACAGTTGACATGACTAGAATATAACTTGTACACATAAAAATGCTCTCTTCCAGGTTTTTTCAAATGCTTCTGACACATTGGCGGACAAGCACATCGAACCTACTTCTAAGATGCAGATGTTTGATTTGGGTAAGTTTGTTTATTCCATAAGTCCTTAGAACATGGCAAAAAAAACAGACCTATAAAATCAATTAAAACTGTCATCATGCTTGAAGATTAAGCAAAATCAATATGTAAAACTAATATATAAAATTTAATTAAAACAGGTTAATATTACTAAAGTGCAGATAGAATAAACCTTACTGAGGTAGCATTGGTAGGGCTCTCAGGCTGCAATCATGCTCTCCAAATATTGCTGAGATATAGTTTGCAAACTTCTCCCTGCATCTGGCAACATTTACCGCAGACAAGACTACATTTTTGACACAAGTTGATGCGTTCCTTCAAGCAGAAAGCCCAGTTTTCCTTTTTTTCCCCCAGTACTTCATTTTCTTTAGGAAGGGTTCTAGATAACATGTTCTAATTGTTAGCCACCAGCAGTGAAGCATATAATGGGTCAAGACTTCCATTTCTGGGGATTCACAGATAAAAAGTCTATCTTGAACTAAGATACCATGAAACCTCCCCAGTCTCATAATAGAGTCATTTTTTTTCAAAATATAGTCCAATATTCCATTATCATGGAGTATGTCAAATATTTTCTGTGTTGATGTTTTGTGTTTGCTAGCTATTTACATATTTTAGAGGATGTAGTGGCAGTTATATCAGATTGAGCTCCTATATCCAAAACTCTTTGTATGAAAATGCTTCTGGTAGCCTTTTCTCTTGGATTCAGTGCCTGTATGGAGAATCCAAACTTTGGGAGTAATTTTGTAAAATTTTAGAGCCAGAACTGTTTGTATAAAATTGCCTTCTGTTCCTCTATAAACCTAGTAGCTGGAGCAGTAACAATTACAAAATTGGGACTTAAGACTAATTTGTTCCATTGATTTCCATGGAAATAAAGTGCAACGAGCTTCCTCTGGATTGAACGCAGTAGTTTTTGGTTAAGTTTACCTCAGTTTTTAAGTATTTATATCATGAGTCCTCAAACTATGGCCCGCAGGCTGGATCCGGCTCGCCATGCCCATTTATCCGGCCTGCCTCAGAGGTTTTGGACTCCCCGTGCCCACCACAACCCGCCTCACTGCACGTGTGCATGGCCACCACCTCACCGGCCCATGCCCACGGCCCCCCCGCCTCACTGGCCCGTGCCCGCCGCCTTTTAACTGGCCCCCTGTTGAAAAAGTTTGTGGACCCCTGATGTATAGTTATATAAATATCCTGACCCTCTAATACAGTGGTGGCAAACCTTTTAGAGACTGAGTGCCCACTTATTTATTGCTAAGTGCCAACACTGTGATAAAACCTGAATACTGAGGTTTTAGTTTAGGAAAAAACAACTCGCAGTCAGTCCAAGCAAATATATCTATCCTTGGCAGCGCTCTGACCGGCCATGCGAAAGCTTGGATGAGTCACGGCTAATGAGTTGCGGCTTGTGATGTCATCACCTGGCTTCATTACTCCTTTCTGAGCATGCGCATGGCTCCTATGTGCACTGTTATCCGATGCCCGGCTGCTGGGGTGATGCTGGGGTGACCTGGCTCGTGTGCCGACAGAGGGGGCTCTGCTTGCCTGCTGCGACATGTGTGCCATAGGTTCACCATCACTGCTCTAATGCATGCCCTAACAGTGTGGATGTAGCTTTTCTAGACTATTCTTTCATGCCCCTGCATGTTTCTGTTCTTGGTATGTGTGTCGAAATGTATGTAAAACATTCGTTTTAAGTCACTTAATGTTCAAGAAAATCAGAAGCTCTTGCATCATATAGCAGACCTCACTCATTTCTTGCTAGTTATGACTGCTTGTGAAGATGAGGGCTTACGGAAAAATGGTTTCCTACTTTTTATGAATACACTTTTTAAAGATGCAAGTTAGTATGCTTGCCTGTACTAGCTTAAAACAACAGGATGGAACATTGGCTCACAAACGCGAGCATTGAATTACGAGTATAGATGCTTCTAGGAACAGACTTACAGTATAATGTTCTCCTTTATCCACAGAAAGATGTCTATTAATGCTTTGGGATAAATATGACTATTATCTACAAAATTGTTTGTGATTGATCTTACTGTCTTCCCATAGAAAAGGAAGCTAGTTGCAGAACCCATACGCATCCTGATGTAGAGATGGTATCTGACTGTCACAGGGTTATGACTTGTCCAAGGTAACATTTTCTGCTTGTACTTTCTTTTGCTACCTTAAAGTTAGAATCCCAAATGATTGTCATCAAATTTTTCTAGGGAAAACTACATCTTCTTCCTTTACAGATTTTTCTATCTGTTCTTATAAGAAAAAATCATTATGCAATACCTGTGATCACACTGTACAGAAATGTGTTGCATCTGAAGGTCTGCTCTCCCTCACACAAACTTAAATCAGTCATGTCAATAATTTCTTGAAAGTTAAGTGGACAACAGTCATACACTTCATGCTGCATTTCTGTGCCCATTGTAGTTTTGTTCTCTTTTAGTCTCAAAGGGCAATTGATAGAGAGAGAGAAGGCCTTACCGTGTGTAGCTCCCATAGCTCTGCTCCATATTTAAAACTTAAATATATAGAGGAGAATTGTGAAACTGAAGATGGAATTCATTGTGAGTTGCAGATCTCAGGAGTCTATGGAAGCACTGTGTTGTAAGACTCATTATGAAGTTTCAGGACTCCACCCCCCAAAAAAAATTAATGTACATGTCATAAACATTTCTGTGCATTATATGTATAATGAAGTTCTGCTTTGCAGTGAGCACTTTTCTAGGCAGTCGAGTGACATGAGTAAGTGCAGAGAACTCACTTATAACTTTGACAGAGGTCAGCACCAACTTTAAATAACCTTAGGTTTAGTATTACAGAAATTTTGAAGAATTTAAAGACTGGCAGTGAGGTCTTTTGGGAGTTGGAAGTGGTATGTAATGCTGTCTTATGCATTTGTATTGCCTACATTTCACATTGTAATCTGCAATCATTTTAGGCACAATGTCTGTTTAATAATTTGTAAACGTGTGTGCTTTCCAGCATAGTTTGTAGCTGCCAAATCAAGAACTTACAGGTTTTAGTAGCAAGATTAAATTTTGCAAACCTTTCTTTCCTCTTACCAGGCATGACTGTAGTTCTAGCAAGAATAGGAAGAAAAATCATAATTCTCTTCAAGAGGACTTGCCACTACGGGGGCTTCCTAATCATAGGCATTTGTTTCAAGATTCCATGCTAGATACCGGAAGGTATTTCAAGAAGCCTCACCATACAGTGGAAGAGGCAAGTGCACTTACATGCAATGCTTGTATTCTAAAGTACCTTTATGTGCTTCCCTGCAATAGAAAATTAGTACGGAATATTCAAATAGGATGCTTGATTCAGTAATACTGGCTGATTTTTTTCTGAGAAAATATTTTTGGACAGGGAAATACACTGCCATTAAATCTTCATATCCTTGTCCTCAAATTTGTCAGTTTTATACTTTAAGAATGCTTTCTCCACTTGTTGGAGGCGTAATGCTGGTAATGCTTCATATGTTCTAGCAGTGCCCAATGGCAACTTCCCTTTGGGAGGAGGTAATTTTCATAATGGAAAGTTCTTTAATATTTAAGGATACACATGTTCTTTTGAATTACCTACCCATTTCTTGGAATTTAACACAAGGACAATGTAAGTGGATTTTGTGTGCCTTATTGACAGATAAAAGAGCAATATTACAACTTTGGAAGGGTAATGAATGGAGGATTTAATGACACTTTAGATTTTTGAACAGGTGGCATTTAGGCATCTGTTACATGTCATCAAGTCATCTGTCATATGAATGAAAGCCCTCCAAAATGTCCTGTCCATGGCAGCCCTGCTCAGTTCCTGTAAATTCAAGGCTGTGGCTTTTTTATGGAGTCAAGCCATATCATAGTTGGTCTTCCTTTTCTTTGTCTGCCTTCAACTTTTCCCTAGTATGATTGTTTTTTGCCTTCTCATGGTCTGCCCCAAAATATGACAGCCTCGATTTTGTCATTTTTCTTTCTAGAGAAAGCTCTGGCTTGATTTGAACTAGTGTACCTTGGCTCACAAACTTAATCCATTCCAGGACTCTGGTTGTGACCCAAATTGGTCGTGAGCCAAGTTAAATTTCCCCATAAGGTTCAATGTAAATAAGGTTAATCCATTCTGTAACTATTTTTTTAAATCAGAAAAATGTGAAGCAAAGTGACAAAGAACAACAGAGATCGCAGCCATCTCCCTCCCCACCCCACGCAGGAGCACATCCATCTCCCCCCACCAGCACAGCTGGGATCGTGCCCATCATCCCTGCACACACCCGTCATCCTGGTGCACTGCGGGGGGAAAGATGGGCATGAATGCGGGTGCGCTGGGAGGGGGGAGAGAGGGGTGCGATCATGCTGTGGGGGTGGAGATGGCCTAGATTGTGGCTGTGCTCGTTCAGGAAAGACAGGCGCAATCACGGGCACGCTCATACAGGAAAGACAGGAGTGATCTCAGCCATCCCCCCCCCCCCAGCAGGATCGCAGCCATCTCCCCACTCGGGGGGTGTGGGGAAATGGCCACGATCACGGTCACCACCCAATGCGGAGTTTGCAACCTGAGTAAAAATTTTTATGAAATTTTTGTTCATGACCCGATTTGGTTGTGCACTGAGACGTTCGTGAGCCGAGGTACCACTGTATATGCTCACAATCAGCCTTCGGAGCAAAAGCTACTTTGCTGCTTTGCTTTTCACTTGATGGCTTGTCAAGTCTATGCAAATTAACCTGTATGCTAGGCAAGACTCGATATTTTAGATTGAACACCAGTCTTAAGACCAGAAAAATACTATCTCAGTTTTATGCATTTTGGCTGGCCATTTTTAAAGCAATTGGTAGAAAAGTAAAGGGAGGTAAATGGTACACTAAAGGGTTTGGCAACAATATCATCCCCCTAGCAATATAAACCTCTGGCTTTCTAGTGTTGACCTGACAGTTTCAGTGCCCTGTACCTTTTCAACATTTCCAGCTTCAGGAAGGAGTGAGGTTTCCATGTCAGGCAAGCCACTTTGCATAACTAGCTATGATAGTGCAGTGTGTTGTCTAAACCAGGACTGCTTCTTGAAGGGTACTATGTGGATAACAATACATGGTTTGTAGTAGTTGTTATACCCATGATGAAATGGCCTGGTGTGTCATTTGGACCTGGGCAGTTGATCCCATTGTAGGTACAGGGTAGTGGTAAGTGACAAAAACCTCTTGCCGTGCTTGACAGTTACAAGATCCTTCTTGCCTGTAGTATTGCTGAGCCAAGTATCCTTCATCTTGTAGATGTGCATTTGGTTTATTTTCTTGGGTGAAGAACTAAGCATTTTTCTTCATTAGGTTTAATTCTGTTGTTTTCAGCTCAGCTCTCCAGCCTGTTAAGATTACTTAGAATTTTGTGTTTGTCTTCCAGGGTATTAGCTGTCCCACCCAATTTTATGTCAACTGCATGATCAAGTAGTATGTGTTAGGTCAGACAGCAAGTGTATACTTGAGATAATTTAACACAGCTATTTATGTCCTTGGCATTAAGTGAATTTGAGTCTGGAACTTTGCTGAAGAACATTCAGTATCATGCTATATCAAATCAAGATCTACTTAGTCTAGTGTTCTTTGCAAGTATTCCAACAGGTACTAGGTGGTTTATCAGACATTGGCCAAAGTGCAATGATTACCATATGTCCACCCCTAATTCACACATGTTCTCCCTTCCTGATCCTTCATCATATTCTCTTTCTACTCCTGTGTTCTCTTTCTACTGGATTGTTAGATGTGTTTTGGCTGCTATTATGCTCTTTAAAACCTAGAAACCTCAGTTGACACCAGTGGAGAGATCATAACTTTGGCACAAGCTGTTAGTATCTATAATGCATGGCCCATTTCCCTGTCATGAGATGGTACAAGAACTGCAGATTTACTCAGAAGTACAGCATACTAGTTTTTAGTGGAATTTACTCCTAGGTAAGAGTGGATAAGATTGTAGTCCCAAACCCTCTGTCAATCAATTTCTTATATGCAGATTGGAAAAGTAACCTTCACATGTCTTAGAGGATAATTGTGAGATTGATCTGAACCCTTGCATATTACTAAGGGATATCACAGAAGTACATTTTGAGTTTTTTTTTTTAGATTTTACTACTCTAAGGCCATTTTTCTTTTTCTATAGGGAGTTCAGAGAGAGGAGCGAGAGAGGTACAAACAGCTGTTGCAGCAAGAAAAAGAAAAGAGACCTAAAAATTGCTCTACACCAACAATAGCAAAGCAGTTAGAGTAAGTTCCTATAAAAATAAATTGTAAGGAAAAGCCTGAAGTGAACTATTCAAACTTAAGTTTTGAACAGATCTGTTTCATTTCTTATTCGTAATTTTGGTCAAGTGCTTATAAGGCAGGATTAGAAGCTTTAAATTAGGCAACTATAGTTTCTGATTTTTACCCCATGGGAAGCAGTGTTTAAGTGTTGAGTCCTGGTTTGTTAATTGGTTCAGGCAAAGAGAGGAGCAGAGTCAGGTTCATGCAGCTTACTCATTTTTGGCTTAGAAATACATGTCAACCAGGTTAATGTCATTAATGTCTAGGAACTTTTTAAGTGTTCACATCTTGTACTGAAGAGATGTGCAGTTTTCTACAAGGTGTAAATTTCAGACTGGAGCTTCTGATTACCACCAGCTACAGTTGCTCCAACCTCTTCTTCCTTATGGTGTTGGTATATATTTTTAAAAGTGTGTTTAACTTTTTTGAAAAAAACTTTATCTCCTTCCTTCAAATCCTTTTGGGTTGATGTAATTATTTTAATGGATTCTTTTTCCCATATCAAAGCATTCATGTTCAGTATCAAATGTATAGTATTAGTTCAATGCCACATGTTGGTGAATACCTGTAACTTAAGATTTTTCTTTTCTGTAACTGAAAATTTAACTTTATCCTTGCTTTATTATCTTGAATGTGCTGAACTAAGTGTCCAGGGATGTTCCTGTGGCTCTTTAAAGACTGATCACTATCTGGGAAAAACTGTCACTTCATTTGAGGCACCAAAAAATGGTAAGTAGTAATAAATGCTTAGTTCATATTTGAGTACATGTACATAGGAATGAGATAAGCAGAGCTTTCTAAGGGCTTCTTTCACATCTTAAGGAAGATAGGGATTGGTGCATGTATCTACATAATAAACACCATAATGCATGAAAGGTGGGCACATGACTGTCTGTGTTTATTGCATATCTAAAGAAACTTGCCCAGTTTTAGCTTCCACATGTGTATCTCTATATTTTCAGAAACATATCCCTAATTATAATTACCATTCCTTTCTAAAAGGAAGAGCCTATATTAAATTACAGTTGAACCCCAACTTTCACAGGTTTACCTTTCATGTTGTTAATTGCGAAGTCGTGTCCGACCCATTGCGACCCCATGGACAACATTCTTCCAGGCCTTCCTGTCCTCCACCATCCCCCGGAGTCCACTTAAGCTCACACCAACTGCTTCAGTGACTCCATCTAGCCACCTCATTCTCTTCCGTCCCCTTCTTCTTTTGCCATCTATTGTACCCAGCATTAGGCTCTTCTCCATTGAGTCCTTCCGTCTCATTAGGTGGCCAAAGTATTTGAGTTTCATCTTCACTATTTGGCCTTCTAAAGAGCACTCAGGCTTGATCTCCTTTAGGACTGACTTGTTTGATGGCCTAGCAGTCCAAGGGACTTGCAGGAGTCTTCTCCAGCACCACAATTCCAAGGCCTCAATTCTTGACGCTCAGCCTTCCTTATGATTCCAGTTGAACAGCCATATATTGCAACTGGGAAAACCATAGCCTTGACTATACGCACTTTTGTTGGCAGGGTGATGTCTCTGCTTTTTAGTATGCTGTCTAGATTTGCCATAGCTTTCCTCCCCAGGAGCAAGCGTCTTAATTTCTTGGCTGCAGGCCATAGATTTGATTATTTGTGAGTTTGATTATTGATTATAATTGGACAAGAACTCCCATCTTTCATGATTTTCTTTTTTGGAAGCAGTTGTGGTCTACCATCATCTGGAGAGCCATACATTCCCTACCCTAGCCTTATTGTATTCCAGAATATTAAATTGGGGTATATTAAATTAATCTAGTCAAAGTAATCATTCAGCTCAAATGATCTCAGTACCTTAGTCAGTGACACCATATTGTACTTATTCAGATGATTTTTGCATATAAAATTGAGGATACTTTTCTTTTCATATTTATGCTGCATAATGTTAAGAAACATGAGAAGGTTAATTAACTTCCTTCTTTGAAGCTAATTATGCATTCCCACAGGAAAAGTAAGTGATGAGGTATGGCTGAAGGTCTAGTTAAGGAAGATTGGAATAAATTAAGAAGTGAAAGAATTTGCATATACAATTAGAATGGCATCCAACATCTCTTAGGACATCAGTTGCTGTTGTGTTAAGACAATTTATTAAGTTAACATTGATGTTTTTCTTTTAAGGCATCAGAAACTATGGTCCCACATGCTCTAGCAGCAAAGTAAACAGGTGGGTGGTTCTGCAGTTTTTGCTTTCCAAGTAAAAGATTGAGCATGGGTAGCAGAGCATAAGGTTCTTAGTACCATGTTTTCAGATGGTTTTTTAAATAGTCTTCTCAGAAAGTATACCTATTGGCATCAAGTCCCTTGAGGGGAAAAGCCAGAGTATGGATACCTAGCTGGATTTACAGATCACCTAAAAGCCATGAAACAGTGTGTGAGCTGTTGCTAGCAATTGCTCTACATATTTGTTACTTCTCGTCCTCTCTCTGCCTTAAATATTTTAGGTTATAAGGAATTAAAACATGCTCATTGGGAGCAAAACAGGGAAGAGGGTAGTGATGTTATTTGTTTCTTTCTAGGTGTCTAAAGCTATGGTATCATATTGTTTTTAGGGTTTGATAGAGATGAACTAGATCAAAAGGTTAGTTTGTGAGTACTTTGTTTTGAAAATACGTTAGGTACATTTCTATTCATTCTTTAAGAACATAAGAAAAAGCCATGCTGGATCAGACCAAAGGCCCATCTAGTCCAGCACTCTGTGCATACAATGACAAACCCAGCTGCCTACTCAATTGCTCAAGCAGGATGGGTGCAAGACCTCAACCTGCCCAAGCTCCTCTGCAGGTGGTGTATGCAGGCACACCACCTCTGGTAAAGAAGATAGCACATAACCAGCAAGGCAAGTAGCCACTGTCCAATCCCCTTTCAAAGCCTTGCAGATTGGTGGCCATCACCACTTCCCATTGCACCAGATTCCATAGTTTAAGCTGTGTGGAAAAGTACTTCCTTTTATCTCTCCTAAACCTCCCACTAATCAGCTTCATGGGATGACTCTGGGTTTAAGTGTTATGGGAGAGGAGGAAGGTCCCCCTCTCTGCTTTCTCCACACTGTGCATTATTTTAAACACCTCTGTCATGTCTCCCCTTACTTGCCTTTTTTCTAAGCTCAGCAATTTCAGTTGTTGTAGCTGTTCCTCATAGGGGAGCTGCTTCAGCCTCCAGATCATTTTTGTTGTCCTAGCTTCATTTTTTTTCAGTTCTGGCACTCTCAGTCAGGTATCTGCTATAGGTAAGGGATTTAACTGTCTAGTTAAAGTTCTTTTCCTAAATGTTTTTTTACCTCACAATGCTTCACTGAATCACTATGTGTAGCTGGATGAGCCATCAATTTTGGTATTCTATATATTATCTGGCAGTTTGTCTTTATTTTTCTCTTCCCTTGCTAGCATGCTTGCTACTACTTTTATAGGAATGTGAGATCACTGACTTTAGCAGGAATATAAAATGCCAGTTCCTTCCTGAAGGGAAAAGTACTCTCTACTTTGCCTTGGCAACATCTATTCCCTTTTCACCAGGAATTATGTTCATCTTTGCTTTTTTCAGCTCAGTTACAGTAGCAGAAAGGTCTTCAGAACCCCAAAAACTAGTGGTACTAAAAAAAGAGGTGAGTCTGTATAGAAACCTTTGTACTCTGAGAGTGAAACTTTTATTCTTCCTGAATAAGTTTGGCGTGATTGTGATTAATATTTAATATAAAACAATTTTAGGAAAAATGGTTTGCAAAGCAGCTTACAGGAATTATACAAATGCTGGGAGTGCATCTGAGTGGGAACTAGGGAAAGATGACCCAAGTCACAAATTTCACAATGAGTTTCTTGAGCATTGTTAATGCTGTTACAGCTTGTTTTGCCAGCTCCATTGCTGCTTGTACATTGTTAAATTACAGACAAAAGGCAGCCACTGGCAATGGCATTAGTGGACTTGTCTTTGATGTCCTTGTCCTTACCCTCCAATAGGCTAACTCCAGGTTTAAAGAAACCCTTGGCAAAGTGCCTTATATGGGCCCTGTTAAATTTTTCTGGTGACCCATGATGACCCAGGGTGATCCCATGTTAATGGCATTCTGGTAATTAAAGTAGTGCCTACCAGGTCCAGCTACCCAATGCTCATTAGAGAGCTGAGGTGGGAGGAGTCAAGGATAATTCAGGACTGGAGCAGTGGATCCTGCCTGTGTGATGCCCAAGAGTGTCTTGTGCTAATGTTTGTTCTGACCCTGACTATTGGTATCTGCTTACTGTGGGGCTGTAGTGTATTCCTGTCTGAAAACAATGGCTTCCTACTCAGATGCACGACTCAGCAAACACACTCTGGGTATTGCAGATTACCTTCCTTTGGAAAAGATCTAGCAGTTATTACTTACGTTACTGTTTTACTAGATATACTCATTGCTGAACCTAGTTACATGGGTTTGGAAGTTAAGTAATGTTTTGATGTAAAGAGACTACTTACTTGGAATTTGGTGTGACCTTCAGGAACATTGTGCATCACAGGATTGTGCTTCCAGCACAGCTTCTACCAGCTTCCCTGTCACTCTGAGACTTGTACTACCTGCCAGCCAGTATGGTGCTCTCACTAAGAAAGGAGACTGCAAATCAAGGAGATAAGAGAGCCCAGAGGCACAGGTAGCAGGAAACATGTTACCCAACTCTACTGAAAGAGCAATCACCATTGTTGAGCAATCACAGTCTATCATAGAGTACTTCAAAGAGATCTGTGTGGTCATGCTGGAGTCTCCCCCAAAGGGTGTCACCATCCCCTACCAACCCAAGCCATCCAGGTCTCCTGTCATCTTTGCAGGTGTTCAGGACAGGTACAGCTGCGGCAGTGCAAGCTACCCCCACACCGCCCCATCAATGTGCCTTAACTCTGACCTGGAGGAACCACCTCAAGAGGCATTATACTATTCAACGACAGTGTGCCATTCCACAGCCCAATCTGACCAAGCTGTACCAATTGGCAATGCAACAGTCACACTTTCCAATGTCTTGTGGCAACACTGGATTCAGTGGTTTGGATGCATCAGCTCAAAGAAAGAAAGAAACTGCTTCTCATGAACTCATGATTCCAGATGATCTGATTAGCTGTATCATTGGACATCAGGGTGCCAAAATCAATGAGATTTGCCAGATATATGAGTCACAGATCAAAATTGTCAGTGCAGTGGAAGGATGTACTGACATAGCTGGACCTGCAGCCAGCATTAGCTCAATATTTAACATCAGGCTTTCTTCAGAGATTGGTGGAATGAGAAGCAGCTAGGACAATGCAACCACCTCACTCATTGTCCATTTCTGCCATTCATCCCTGTGATCCCTCTGTGTAGTTTCTGAGCAGTCAGCAATTCCAGGTTTTAACTAGTTTGTAAATTTTCCATTCTACATGCTTTACCCATCCACTCATGATTTTTTAAAGTGCACCTTTTCTCTGTTCACCTGTTAAAATTCTGATTCATATTTCAGTTTACAAGTGTCTCCCTGTTTTTTGACTTGTGACATTTTTCTGTTATATCATGAAAATGTAAGAGCGAAACTAATCCATTTCAGATGAGTTCTGTAATGTCTGATTTTTTAAAAAAAGATGAATTGGAGTTTAGAGAGAGGACCAGTGTGGTGTAGTGGTTAAGACTGCAGGTCTGGGATTCAGGAAATCTGGGTTCTAGTCCCTGCTTAGCCATGGAACCAACTGGGTGACCTTAGACCAGTCACTGACTCCCAGCCTAACCTACCTCCCAGGGTTGCTGTTGTGGGGATAAGATTGAGCGCAGGAAAAGGAAAATGATGTCAGCTGCTTGAGTTATTAGAAAAGGAAGATGGGATATAAATCTAATAAATACTATATTGTTTCCTTTTGAAGGTTAGAGGGTATCTGGATTTCAGTGACAGGAAGGCAATTTAATTCTACCAATTTGAGAATATTATTCCATTTCTCTTCTCTGTTCTACTATTTTTGTATTAAAGGAGGGAAACTAAAAGTTGAAATCATTTTAAGGCAGTTTTAAGTAGAAATTGATGCCTTGCTTATTTTCACAGTAGAAATAGATGTCTGTTTATTCACACATCAACATATTGCAGTGAATCCTTTGCCTTTTCAAGGAATGATTCAGTTAGGCTGGAACAGGAGTCTTGTAGAATTATTCAGTTTGTGGGGAGGGGAGTTGAAGGATAAAAGGCAGTAAATGGTGACGGACTGTAGCTCAGTGGTGGAACATATGCTTTATATGCTAAAGGTACCAAGTTTAAGCTATGGCATTTTCCAATTTAAATGATTTCAAGTTGAAAGTGATGTGGGAAACCCAGAAATGCCACTGCTCAAATAGTTTGAATTGGAATGTGGCAGCTTCTTACGTTTCGCCATCATGAAACCTTCTCCTGCTGTGCTATATAGTAGTAAAGAATCCTGGGTTAGAAGTGGTTGCCTGCCCTAAACCAGAGTATTTTATTGCCATATAAAGGGCAGCAGGATGTTTTTTTGAGAGTGAGAAGGAAAAAGTATTCTAACTTGTTTTCCTTCCTCCTGAAAATTTCCCATGAAGAGGTTTTTAACAAAAGTTTCGCTTCCCTGACCTAATTCTTGCCTCAGAATACTTTAATCTGGCCTACTTTCTTTCTCCCCTCTGCCCTATTTTTCTTCTAGTTTACAAGCTAATATTTCTGCATACCATGCGAGTTACACTAAGCATTCAGAAACCACTACTTTCTGAGTTGGCCCTGTTTTGTGCCTAAATTGATAGGCAAAAAATCACCTAGTTTGGCATTAAAAGGAATGATAGTGATGGCCATGAACAAGACTGTTACATGCTTCTAGTTCACAATGGTGCATCATCTTTTAACAGGGTCTAAAAGAGCCCTTGGCAAATTACCTATCAAATGAAGTGTCACTTAGGCTAAGCCTGAACCCAGAACAATCTTTCAGGAGGTGCTCTCCAGTCGAGAAAGAAGAACAGAAATGTCTGAGCTTAGAAAAAGCTTCAGAGTGTCTTCCTGACTTTACAGAGGTACCGTTTTGTGATGGTGTTCAAAAATATGCTGATTCTGTGGTTTATTTATTTATTTTTTTTAAAGGACAAGCCATCAGACTTTTGTGTCCTTAGTACTTTATTAATGGGAAATTCCTTATATTTTTAAGGGCTCTTCTGGTTAAACTCTAACCAGACTGCCACATTTATTATACAGCATGTCGCAACAAGTTCAGGTTTGTATTATACTTTAAATGTCTTGAGCAAAATAGAAATGCTGTGGCTTTCTACACACATCCCCCAAACATGTGGGCATTTGGTACTTGCTGCTTATGAAGTTCATAGTACAATTTTTTTTCTTCTAGGATATGGAGAGAGAGATAGCAAATGTACTGAGTGATGGCTATGATGATGAAATTTTGACTAATGCCTTCAAGTTGAACATAACCCGTGGAGATATTCAGACTTTAAGAAACCATCAGTGGCTTAATGATGTGGTAAGATAGAAGTTCCCAGTACTAGCTTAAATTTTAGCATTTTATTATAGAAAAGGCTGTTAGGTTGTGTATGCTGGTCTTGAATTGTTGTGGGGCAAAACATCTTAATGTTTTAAGATGGGGTAAAGAATCATACTTGGGTGGGATGCTAGATGGCATCCCCTGATCCAGCCCTCTGCAAGTGGTATGATATACAGCCACTCTTGCCTGACATAATTTGCTTCCCAGCTCAAGCACCTAGTAGATCTTTCACCTGATACTTGGGCCAGAAACCAGGCTTTGCATGCGTTAAAAGCTGAAAGGTGTGGTGGAGGGGACTCATCCCACTTTACACGACCTGCCACCTTCCTGCAATGACAAATGAGTGTATAGAGAACAAATTGTGTTTCTGCCAACACCAGCCTCCTTTTTGTGTTGGATAAGAAAATGAGGTGGCTGAAATAGAATCAGGCCACCTTGTACTCCCATCCCCACTCTTCATTTATATTGGTGGTAACAGCAAGAATTCCCCTGCTTGCCCACCCTAGCAAGGGAATCCCAGTTGTTACTTCTGATTGGAGAAAGCAGTGAGAGATACACTCTGAGGAGGTTCCTCCAGGGAATAGGGCCTAAAGACTAAGTCCTGCCTATTGGAGGAACCTCCTGAGGTCTGAACAAGGGTGTTCTTGAGTTAAATTGAGGTTGTTTGACCAATGAACAACCACAAGTGACTGGGTTCAGATATCACCCCCTAGGTTGTTGCTGGAAACCATAATTGGCCTGCATGTTTGCCATTTGTGGCTTGATTAACCAATGAGTTGCAGCTGTTACATCCAGGCAGGGCCAATGATAAAACATTGCATCTCTGAAGACACAGGTAGATTTACTAGTCTTCTATATAGCATGAAGGTCATAGCAGTTCTCAAGTCTTCTGTAAAATTTTAAACCAAGCAATTGGGGTGGGGGGCATTCTGTGCATGTTTAGACTTTTTTAAAAAGCTCTGCCACTCTCAGCTTTGGCAGAATGCTAGGAATTACAGAAGGGTTTTTTTTCCTACCTAAATGGATATATCTTTAGTAACTTAAAAACTGTGACTTTATATTACCCTTACCAAGTAGGCATTTAATCTGTATTCTTTTTCTCTTGAATTGTTCTGGTATTTATAGATTATTAACTTCTATATGAATCTTCTGATGGAGAGAAATAAAAGGCCAGGATTTCCAGTTCTTTATGCTTTCAGCACTTTCTTCTATCCCAAGCTAAATTCTGCTGGCTATAATTCGGTAAGAAGATGGACCAAAGAAGTGGATTTGTTCCAACATGATATAATCTTGGTACCTATTCATATCAGGGTACATTGGGCTTTAGTGGTGAGTATGTGTTGTTGTTGTTGTTGTAGTATTAATATCCTGCCTGTTTCCCAGTATTTTTTAATGGGGAAAAGGTTGAAATGTATGATGGGCTGTGAATATTTGATTAATACCCTTATTTTGATTAAAGGTTATAGATACGAGGAAAAAGACCATCAAATATTATGACTCAATGGGACAAAATGGCAACAGGATATGTAGAAGATTGCTGTAAGTAGATTTTTACTGACTGCAATTTACATGAGTATACTCTTCGTACCATGTTTTGTAGTAGGTAGATTTGAATTTCTGTATAAAACTTGTAATTAAAGCCTCAAAGCTGTATTTGGGTGCCAACAAATGAGCAAAAACTCTTAAAGTGATGTTATACGAGTAATCTAAAGGTATACTAATCATCCTGGATAGAGCTGTAATTATTGGTGCATATGTGATTCTTGTACATATTAATATAAAACACTTGTTTATATTTTTATAAATTTTAAAAAATATTTTACTTTAATACACATTCAGTTTAAATGAATTAAGTAAAAGAGTGCACTTTATTAGCCTGGTTTCCATGTAATAGTTGACCCATGGTTTATTTTAACTATGGGTTGTTGTTGTTGTTTTGGCCCTATCCAAGGTTTGTCTAGCAGATCATTGAACAAACTGGTTTGTTTTCTCAGGCCCTTGTTTCTTTTCCCTTCCTGTATCCTAACTGCCTTTGCAATATTGCAGTACTGGCATATAAAGAAGCTAGATTTTTTTAACCATCTTTATGTTGCAAAACACATCATGAACATCTCATGATTCTGAATTTGCATATTATGACCATCAATGGTTTAAACCCATAGTTCACAACACAACACCGAACCATTGGTTCTGTTCATGGGTTGTGCATAAGTAGTAACACATAACTAACCCATAATTTCAGGTTCACATATGACAACAAACCACATTTTGATAAACCATGCTTCATTAAACTATGGCTTGTTATATATGAATGAGGTTAGAGCATATGACAATAATTGAATTAAAGTTCTGTCGATAATAGCTTGGGTGTGTGAAGTAACTATTGTTGCAGTTGTGTGAGGAAGCTCTCAGAAGCTGTTTGGGGTTATGTAAATTAGATAGTTGATCCTGTAGGAAGAACTGGGTAGTATTTTCCTCTGCTGCTGAGTACAAAAATATGTATGGCATGCAAAATTTTGCTAATTCTGAATAGTGATAAATTATGAATTTAGGAGAATATTGACCAATATATAATATGGTTTTTATTGAACAGACAATATCTGCAGGAGGAAAGTAAATCCAAGAGAAATGTGGACATTAACGCTTCATCATGGACGCTTTATAGTGTGAAATCAGATGTGTGTGAGAGACCTGCTTTTGGCTTTTACAGCTTCAGTGTGCATTTTAGCATTATTATTTTTTTTGTAAAGTGTTGGTTTGAACATAAACCTGACTTAATATAGGAACAAGTTACAGGCCCCAATCCATCTCATCTTCACTGAGCCACTGACGACAGTGTTTCATTTGTGTTTTCTTTGAATGACTGTGGCATCTAACATAAGGAAAAAGTTGTGAACAATGATCAAATTACCAAAATTGCTGTGTAGGGGGAGTTGTTGGACAAGATGGCATGTGCCAGCCTGTCTTCCTTACATAACAGAATTGTTATGTCCAAATGGTTCCAAATAGTATTGGGACAATACAAACAAGCATTGAATAATACTCCAAGAAGTGTTAGATTTTCTTTCGTATAATTTTAGATTATTTTTCTTTAAAGAAAAATGTTAACTATCTTGAATTAACTCAATATGGCAAAGGGTCTCAATTTTAAGAGGTGTAAATTTCTTGGAATGTCTATTTTCTGGAATATTCCTTACCTTGAAATAAGTACTATAGCCCAGGAGCAAGACTTCTATAAAGCAAATGTGTTAGTCATACGAGATTGGAATGGGAAATATGAGTAATAACTTCTAACTGCTGTGTTGGTTTGGTGGTCAGGTATAGACTAACCTTATTAGAGCCTCCTTAATTAAAAAAAAAACCTTATGGCACCTTAAGGACTAAAGACTAACAAATGTATTGTGACATAGCTTTCCATGGACACTTTCAACTTCAACAGGTACATGAAGTGTTAACCTTAGTGTGAATTACTAAAGTCCAATTCATAGAGACACTCCGGTCTATTTTGTGTGCTTTGTACAAGGACAAAGATTTTTTATCAGCCGGCAGGCTCTTACTCTGTTTACTATTCCAGTGATGCCTATTTGCAGCCAATGTTTTGTGAATGGCAACTATTACCAGTCTGAACTTCTTGCATTCTAATTCTTCCTGACCATGCAGTTTACATTCCCTCATGTGCATACATATCTGTTAATTTGAATTAACACTTAATGCACATGCTGAAGCAGATGGATTGATAGAATGAATTTGTTAGTCTTTACTTTTTGAAGGTGCCATAAGACAGTTGATGGACCAACAAGATTAGCACTCTGGAAATATTTACATTTTGATAACATGCACTTTCAAATAAAGTAAAAAGGAACTAATCTATATTTCTTTGGATCTTTCCACATTTTTCCCCTGAATCTTAGGAAATCCCACAACAATTGAATGGCAGTGACTGTGGAATGTTTACTTGTAAATATGCAGATTTTATCTCCAGGGATAAGCCCATTACATTTACGCAGGTGAGTGACGTTTTAGGAAATCCCTTTCCTTTCCTCCTCCTCTGTCTACACTATTCTGTTCATAGCTAGTGCTGTAGTAGGTCTTTTTTGTAACCTGTCCCCCCCCCCCCCATTTTCATGGGGATGTGGGTGCTTAGTCCATCATGCTCAATTTCTATAAGCATCTTGATAGGAAACATTTGCAAAATTCTTGCCCTTGACACACATGCTGATAGTTCAATTATTTCAAAGAAATGTAACTTTGGAGGTGAAGGAGAGAGGAAACAATAATGGCATTAAATGCTAAAATAGTTGACAGAGCTTATATAAGAACATAAGAAAAGCCATGCTGGATTAGACCCAGGTTCCATCTAGTCCAGCATTCCGTTCACACAGGAGCCAACCAGCTCCCTGCGGATCCTTCAGACAGGATAGTAATACAATGCTCCCCTTCTGTCCAAGTACCCCAGCAACTGGCATACATCGAAACAGTACTGCTTCCACTGTTGCAGGTAGCATATAGCCTTTAAGATTAGTAACCATTGACAGTCTTCTCCATAAATTCACCCCATCCCCTTTTAAAGCCATCCATATTGATGGCCATCACTGCATCTTTTGTAATAGCTTATTTTCCAAAGTTTAACTATGCACCATGTGAAGGACCACTTCTTTTTATCAGTAAAGAATCTCCCATGAATTAGCTTTGTAGGATGGACCCCCATGTTCTAGTATAAGGGGATGGGGAAAAAATGTCTCCCTCTCCATTTTCTCCACACTACGCATGACTTTTCATGCATTAAGGCGAATTTTGCCAAAATAAATGTATTGTGTATTCAAGGCATTTTTCTTTTTGCAGTGTCACATGCCTTACTACCGTAACAGGATGGTATGGGAGATACTTCATCAGCAGCTACTGTGACACTAGGCCTTTGGTGTGATGCACTTGCACAGCATCCTCATTTGATGATAATGTAGTTGTGTTATTAGTTGTACCTGTCTAAAGGCAAATTTCATATAAAGATCTTGTTGAATTCCCATTTCTGTGCAGAGGCATAGATCAAGAGGCAATCATTTGATCCTGAAACCCTCCCTCCCTAAGAGAAGAATTCAGCAGTGAAAACTTGTTGATCATGTTAGCAAGGACTGTCCAGAAAAGTGGTATCCTACTAAATATTAGATGAACAAGGAGTGACCTCAGTGTCATAAAGATGAAAAGTATGTAATGCCATCTTCCCAGGGGCTATTACATAATGCATGACTGGCATCTGGTCTGAGCATGACCAGGTTTGGATCCAAACTTTTTCTTCAACCAGCAAAGATGGCACAAGCACCTATGCCACATTCTATTTCCATTTTTGTTTTGATCTAGTTAGATACTGCCACAGCATCTGTCTGGGTACACTATGGTTCAGCCCGGAGATGGAAAAGGGTATTGGTATGCAAAAGTCTGCAAAGAGAATGTGTTAATCCATGGTGTGTGTATGATTTTCTAAACCAAGGTGTTCCCTGTTGGAAAGTGGAAATTGTATTTTCTTGTAAAACTGGATTTATAGTGATTCAGAGAGATGGGAACTTTCTTTGGATTTGTAACAAATCCACTGTAAAGTCCCTTAATCAGAATTGGTCTTTATTTAACAGAAGTATAATTTTGTATGAAACTATTTATTTGCATTCTTGTATTTAAATGGATATGTGTTGGAATGCCAAAATTTGTTTAATTAAAAATGGAAATATTTATCTAGTATACCTGGTTTAAATTAATGTGACTTGCACAGTTACCTCAGTTCTGAAAGTCAGAAGGGGCATAGCAAAAGTTGGAAGAATAAAAATGCAGTTGATGAATGGGTAAAACAAAATATTTGCTCTCAATAGCACTATTACATAAATATTAATTTGTGGGGAAGGGATAGCAACCACAGTAACCTTCAGCTTCACAATACTTACATGTCTATTACATTGAAGAAACTTTTGTATTCTGACATGGAATACCAGAGTGGGTGGCAAGAGCGGGCAATGTTAATGGGTTGTGTTCTGTGGACAGAACATGTTAACCATTCCTACCCATGAGTATTTTCTTTGGTTCATGATTATTCATAGACATGATCATAGGCATGATTATGTCTAACAATTTGTTGCTCAGTGCAGATGCCTGGTGCTTCCACAATGGGAGGAATTTGGAATGGGTAGGCTATATAGGGAACATGCCTGCCTGTGTCTACATTAAGCTTACGGTAAGTTTAGGGGAAGCACCCCTTCATTTGGGGTTTTTTTTCCTCTGCATTTGCAAAACAATTGATGCTGATGCATTAAAAAGGTATACTATAAATTGAATTAACAGTAGATATATCCCAAAGAGCAAAAGATGGCATACTTGCCCCTTTTCAGTTAAAATTTTTGATGCTTGTCCCAGGGTCAGTCCTTCAGAAATAGGAGTTGTAAAGCCTAAACATTTTCCATTCTTCAGGTAGAAGGAAGGTGTCTATCACACATGAGGTTGTGTAATACCTAATGTTGGAGCCAAGTCAATGAGGAGAAAATGTTCTGCAATTCTTAGTCAGATAATCACATATGTACATGGTATTTGGCAAGTACAGCAGTGCCATAGGGACATATGTAAAGTCTTATACTAAGTATGATTATGCAAATTTTCTTGGATTTAGCATAATAGAAGATAGTAAGCAAATGCTAATGCTGAAAATCTTTGCTTATGCTAAACAGAGATTGTGCCCTAAATGAAACTATGTTTGAAATAGACGGTTCTGTAATACGGAAGGGAAACCAGCAACATTTTGACAGGGTTAAATCTGCTAAAAGTTGCATTCATTCTTTCTCTAGAGTGGATTGTGTTTAACTATGGATAAACAGAACTGTTTCAGACAGGGGTCTCAAACTCAACTTACCTGGTGGCCGCTGGAAGTAGAGTCTGGGTGAGGCTGGGCCGCATCAAGTATTCCACCACCGTGGTGATGGTGGGCCGCTCAGCTGGAGGCCGGCCCGGGCACCACTGGCGCTTTGAAGGCCGCAGGGCCCCTTCCCCGTGCCCCGCCCGTCCCGGCAATTGGCGAGTTTGAGACCCCTGGTTTAAGAGGACTGTGGATAAAGACATGTTCATGTTCTAGGATAGGCTTGTTCTTTTCCCCTATGGATTGGAATACAGCTAATCAAGTTTAATCAAACTTAAATGTTTACAAATACTTAAAAGGTGTTTAGCATGCTGAAGTGCTTAGTGTACTGCACATGAAGTCTAGTAATCTTTACAATATTATTGTAAGGTAGGTCAAGTTTCTGTCTTTAGTTGAGGGTATGACTGTAGTCATATTCACAGTTACCAGGGTGTAAGTTCCACTGACCTCATTAGGGCTCAATTCTGAATAAACATGTACAAAAATGCACAGTAAGACTGGTATCAACTACATAAATCAGCTCTTTTGAAATATAGGTATCCTTAGCTGTTGTCTTTAATAGTGAGAGCAAACATGACACAAACACTATCTGGGGAAAACTTTTCTGATGGCACTACTGGTTAGCCAAAGCTTGAGTCAAATCTGCATGAGGAAATATCACACATGGTCTTTTCTGTTCACTTCAGCACATTTCCTGATGTTGGAACTCTAACTTGTAGGAAACTATGACTTGGAACAGCTATTTATGTGAAGAGTTAGCTCTCCTTAGAAGCAGAAACTCATGTCTACTGTTAGTTAGCACACCAAGATAAAGCTAATGCATTTCGAAATCAGTTACTTCCATAAGAGATTAGCTTCTTTGTAAACTTTGCTTTAGCATATGTTAATCCTTTCTGCCATAGTAAACCAAAGAATTACTTGTTTGACTACCACCTAATCTTGGTTCAGTCTTATTCTTGTTACTGCTTTTTGGCTTTATGCTGCTTTGTTAAAGTTCATTTGTGTGGAAAACCTAAGATGAAAAACAATAGGGATAAACTTTCTGGACTAGTAGTTGTGACGACGACTTCCACCATTCTTAAATGCCACTGTAACACAAATGAATCTGAAAGTCAACCAGGTACTTGTACAAACCACATCCCTTATTTCTGTTTCACATATTGACCTCACGAGACTGCACAGGATCCTCTAGTTAAAGCAAGGGACAAAGTAGAGAAGAGGGCTTGCACACTACTCATTTTTCTACCTTGAATTTGCTGTTAAATAAAACTACTGAGGTCAGGCTCTTGTTAGCTGGATATATTTTGTTTTTCACAGAACACTGTTTGAAGTAGAGAAAACTGGCATTGCAGTCTGTTGGTACAATGGTATGTTCATGGAAACCAGTATAACATCCGTTAGCACAGAAAAACTCTAATGGTGTGTGTAACTTGTCAAACTCAGGAGTTCTGCTTCAGTGTCTCTCGTACTTCTATCCTTTATTATGTTTCAAGGCCATTGATTCTCATCTAGCAGAAGGATAATACAGGATAGTCATCATACAGAATGATGCTTGCTTCCACCTGGCAGCTGTCTTTTGTCTAAATTTATTTCCAACTCATTTTTATTAAAAAAATAAAAAAATGCTCCAACTCTCAGTTTTACAAGGCATACAAAATCTCAAAAAGGGACACACAAGAGCAAGGTGCTGAGGTATGAAAACACCTGAGGTAGTTTGTTTTGTTTTTTTCTTTTTTGAAAAAAAAAAAGTTGCAATTTTCATGCCCTGGGCCAACACCCTCTTGTCAAATCCCATTTTAAAAACCCACTTCCCAAAGTATTGGTGGCAGCATCCTACATGCAAAATGTACCAAGTGTGCTGTTTTCCTGTAAGCAGGGTGAAGTATTTTTTTCTCCCCTATGCCCCCCAGGAAACCTAGATATAACTGAAGCTTGGCATTTTGATAAGCATAGTGGAAGTTGTGGCTGGGTGGTTCTTTTGTTATCTTTTCCATAATGTGTTTACTTGGAGTACTGCATTGTCTGGTGGTACAAAAGGAGAGACTGTATGCAAAAACCAGTTTAAAATCTGTGAAGCAAAGAGAAGAGCACATGAGCTGGAGAAAGAAATGCATAGAGATTTCTCTGCTAACGAGACGGTATCCCTTCTGTTGGCACTTACAGGCAATCCAAGATGGCATGCAGCTGTTATTGGTCTTCCTAAAGCCCTTCTAAATATTCATTTTTGATTCCCACTTAAATTTTGCTCTTATAATCCTACATCTTCCCCCTACTTTCTGTTAGAGATTTGTAGTTGACTAGCGTCTTTCCATTTAGTCTAGAAAAGCCTGCTTTTTCTAAAAACAAAATGTAATTGTTTAAAAAAGAAATTAAAGACTGGAGTTAGTTTAGTTAGCTATATTAATTCTAAAATATATTAATGCTGTCCTGTACAGCAGCCCATGCACTGTTTATAAAAAAAGCTTTCCTAGTATGTACACACATGTACAGAAAAGATTTTGAATGGGTTTGTCTGCAAATTTCTGCCTATGTTAGTCCAACTAAAGGGATAGCGTTGTACTGTTAGACAGACTCCATGTAGGCTGTGGTATAAGGGAGGCAGTCCCCTTGCTGGCTGAAGCCCACCCCTTCCCCACTCCCTGTGTACTGTAAGTCCTCTGCAGAGCCCCAGCCTCTTGGGCAGACTTGGATGCCTCTGGATAGTCTTTGGTTTGCTCCCTGGTCCGGTTATTCTGTCAGGTGTTGGAAGGGCTACATTCATCAGTTGTTGCTGGCTAGCACCTTGGAGCCTCATTTGCTGCGCTGTGAGGCAGGGGCTCCCTGAGGGTGTTTCTGTTCCTGCTGTTTCACCTGCTGGACAATTTCCCTGATCTTGCGCTGTGCAGTCTATAGCAAAGAAAAAGAAAGTACTTGTTAACCAACTGCAAAAACAAGCAAAAAAGGACAGGACAGGATATTTACCCATGATTCTTCAAGGGGTCATTTGTGAACTCACACATGTACACCAGTGCACAGCAATCATTCAAAATGGTGGTGTAGTACAGAATGAAATTCAGGTTTCTCCCACCCACCTCCGTGTGTAGGATGTGCATGGCAACTACTGAGCTCTCATTTCTGAGTCTGCTACAACAGAAGAATAAAAGGGCAAAGCATCAAAGTGAAGTGGAGGGAAAGTTGTGTGAATTCACAGATGACCACTTAAGGGACCAGTTACAGGTAAGCAGCCTATCTTCATTGTCTGTGTCATTCACACATAAGTTATTGAAAAGCAAGAGACCAGAGAGAGAAGGAAGCTGTCGCCCAGAACCCTAGAAAGAACTGCCCTGCCCAAGGCTGCATCTGCATGAGCCCTATTATCTAGGAAGTAATGGTGATGAAAGCAGACAGTTGAGCACATATTGCGCCGCTGCACAGCTGAGGAAGCAGAATGCCTTGAAGGAACATGGGAAGATTTTATGGCTGTACATGCATGGCCACATACCAGGATCCATGGGGGAGATGCAAGCTTATAAATGCAAAGTATGGTGACATCACCTTTTGGCAAAGGATTGTGAGGACATCGAGTGCTCTTCTAGGGGGACAGATAAAGGAGATGTTCAAAAGGATGATATCCAATGTAAATGGAAGACATGTCTAACGAGCAAAAAACTGAGTTCCAATAAGGAAGTAGGCTGGGGAAGAAAGTAACGCAATGTCTGAAGCACACAGAACTGTGAAACTACCCTGGAGTGGAAGAATAGTCAGTGCGCACAGCTACCTTATCTCTGTGCAATATTCAGAATGATTGTTCATGCTGAAGCACATGGAGTTTGCTGCATGCTGAAGTTTGATTGCTTGAAAGGAGGAGTGGTGTTTCAGGAAATGCATGTGTGCCTGCTCTGTCTGCAGGTAATAAATGTGGGTACAAGTGGAAACATGAAGTGTTCCTATGAATTGTATTTGAGAAATTATGAGACAGGACTTCATTGATCTGTAGGCTAGGGATTCCAGAGATGACCATATTACAGTGATGTGGATCTAGAAGCGTTGGAATGAGAAAGGAATGAGGAGCCTGTCAAAGGATGGAAAAACTGTGATTGATTGATTGATTGATTGAAGCTGTAAGTATGTTGGTTTTACCATCATGCATTTTCTAAAGTTCCTAGGTTGTGTCCAGGCCAAACAGGAGAACTGAACTAGAAGCGCTAAGGAGGCAGTGTAAGACAGATTCCCTTGATGCAGGGGAGAATGAAGGAAGTATAGTAATTTGGAATTTCCTTGAATAAACATGATGATTGATATCTCAGAGGGCAACTCTACTTTGAAGATCTTCATCCTTTCTTGGGACAGAAAAAAACACCTGATGAACTTTTAGCAGAGGTGATTCATTCTAGTGTAACTTTGCTTGAAAGCATACCAATTTCTTCATTGAGGACTGGAGAAAGCTGAGTGATGTAGAATATTCTTATAGGAGAAGTGCCTGCAAACTTAATGTAATAACCCTAGTGATGGATAGAAGCCATGTATCAGTTGTGATGAATTCCCAAGCAGCAAGGAATGGTTGTGCTGGGATTAAATAAAAGGTTAGGGTTGGGACAGTCCTGTGCAAAAGTCAAGAAGATGCTTGGATTGCTTAGGATGCTTATTCTAAACTGATTGGCAACGTTTGCCCTGAAAGGGTTATTTGCATTGAAAGGAAGTATATGAACTTTGTTTAGAGGGTCTATTTGAAGCTGAATCGGGTTGGTGGTGTGCTAGTCCCTGGCATTGCCAAAATGGACAAAGGCAGCTTGTGGAGGCTAAAGAGGATATGATCTCATTCCCAACTTGCAGGTGAATGTTTCCATTTTGTGAACATATCCTGAAGTTTCATCCACAGAAGCACTGAAGAAGCCTTTGTCATCTCTAGCCTCCTGGTTAAATCTTGTCGCTTGAAGCCTAGCATGGTGGTGTAGCGGTGCTGAAACTACAACCGGCTATACAGTGAGCTGTGTTGATTTGTTGGCTAGCTTCTGCCTAGAGTATCATTGCCAGGCTTTATTATGTCCACTAGAAGGCAGTAGATAAAGATTGCAACAATTTGTAATTAGCTATGAGTAGGGCACAGAAGAGTAGATCCTATACGCTACTGAGTTAATTTTCTCCACTCTTATTGACAGGAATAGAGTGGGCCTTTTTGTCTAGACTTGGACTGGGATGCCTCTATTATTATGCAATTTAGCATGGGACGTTTAAAAAGAAAAGAGTAGTCCCATTCCTGAATCCACTATTGGCTCCTTCATTTATATATGTAGGGGAAAAGTTTTGACCATAATTGCTTACATGGAAGAGCGGGGAGCTACAGGGGAGGGAATCCTCCAACATACCCTGTGGGACAGGACTGACAGATACTTTATCTTTAATCCCAAGCATTTTACCTTCACTGTATGTGTTCTGCATTGGGCCTAATGTAATCAGATGGAGAAAGAGGGTTTGGACGCCCCCCCCCGCCAAAAGTACTGACATCTTCTCCAGATAATGTCACAAAAGAAGAGGATGATGGACCAGAGCAAAAATTGCCCTGTCCTGAGAAGTGATCTTGGGAACACAGTTGGTAGGTGACTGTAGGTAGTTCCAGTGGCTTGTGCAGTTTTAACTTGTAAAACTGTTGATGATGTTTGGAGTATGGTAGATAATGGCATGACTCCTGGGAGTTTTGAAAGGATTCTATCTTGGAAGAATTTGTCTGGAAGAAAGTACAAAAGCAAGCAGCATCCTGGTAAATTTAGGTACTATAGTAGTTGCTGCCTACGGAATGGGAGGCACTAGGATTAGGAGAACAAGAATTTTGATGGTGTGAGTAATAATGCCCAGGCATTATTATCCCTATAGTCATGTCATCACTGGGATTAGGCATGATGCTTTCATGGTGGAGAGGAGTGGTGTGAAGAAGTTCCACTGAAGTAACATCGTTGATGATAGTCTCATAACATGTGCTGGTGTCAAAGAAAGCTCCCAGTGAGGCAGGTGGCATTTCTTGGTAGCTAGGAGATCTAATCTTTATGTGGAGAATAATTCTTAGGAGAAGGCTGGTAAGGGCTCAGGGGAAATAATTCCCTGGATTTGCCTTCTGATACTAACCATCAGCCACCTTCCCTCACCCCATACTGAATGTCATCTGAGGACATGTGATCCAACAGTTTACATTTTCTCCAGAACTGCAGATGAATAGTTGTGCAACCGTCAGGACTGAGGGTGGCTGCTTTAGTGTGGGTATAGTTCTTGGCTTGCCATCCAATTATATCCCGCAAGCAGTCTTTTTATTCTTTGATCCTGGTGCCCAGGGATTGGTAGGGCATTTATTTTGGGACCTGGCCAGTTTGACCTTTTTGATGTTAACTGCTTGTAGCAAACAAGAACTTAGTTCTGAACGGAGCTGCTGTGGTCTGTGGTTGTTCTAAAGGTAAAGCCAAAGCCAAAAGAAGGGAAAGGATTGGTACTCCCAATACCAGGAACAGTTGTCCTGCAGTGCTTTCCATGGTGCTGTGCGAGACTGAGAGCGCCCAGGCCACCTTTCCAAGGATGGAGACAGTGTGCAGCAGCTGGTTCAGCACAGCTGTATCCTTCACCATGAGAGCTTGTTGCCAAAGGAGGATGCAAATGCTCTTCTATTTCTCCTGGCCTTTTTAGTACAAGCCTGGCAGTGGGTATATGAGACACTAAGTGTGCTGTCAGTTAACAGTATCTTCCCACCACAGCAGGTACACTTTCTGAAGAAGGCCTTGGAGGCTATGTACCCCAAGGAGGTGAAGAAAGGAAGGAGGAAAATCCAAGGAGAAATTGTGGAGGAGGAAGAGAAAGGGAGGACCTGGTGAGAAAATCTGCACAAAAGGCTATGAGGGGGACAGCATTCCAAATAGCTTAGAAGTTGACTTTTCATTGCTAGGCTTTCCTGAGTAAACAATATTAAAGTAGTACTTCACCTGACTGGCAAAGAAGTGACCAATAATTTTGACGACAACTTCCTCATTTTCATCAGGTGTTTGGTCACGTGGTACAATTACTTCTGCACTAGTTAAGTTCTGTAGCTCATTCACCTACAATGTTAAGCATATAGAAATATTTGGTAAGTGATCATTTTTACATTTAAACAATTCCAGACATGTATAGGTTAATGGTACTACTGCTATGCAGTGCAAAAGTGATTAGATAGCTATACCATTCATGCACAGTATATAATCAAACAAAACCAGTGGAACGTTGGCTCCCATTTCCTTTAGATAACAAACAATCCCCACAGGTTTTTTTAGGCTATTTCCTTTGACCCTGATATGAACTGCCCTACATACCGTTTTGCCGCCTTTTCCTATCACACGGCCTGCTGCAGAGGAAGGCACCTTAATATGAGCTTCAAGCTTTACTTCTTCTTTTGGATTGAAAAAGTTTTCCTCTTTCAGTTTCCCAAATATTCGTCCTTGGGCCTAGGACAACAAAGAGTTGAGCTTGCAAATTTTCAGCTGAAGTCTAATTTATAGTCATCCTAGCATAAATCCATAAAGATGATGTGAACTCCTAAGAACTATTTTTGCCCTCTCAGGGAATTAAGAAGGAGTGGAGTTTCTGAATGAGAGTTAGCTGAAGTGGTCCAAACCAGTAGGTATATCCCAGATTCACAGTGCAGTTCTCCTACATTGCGTCCAAAACTAAAGTTAACTACAGGGGGTAGTGAATTGCTCCAGAGCTTATTTTGGCACATTGCAGCAAAGACAGTGAATATGTATACAACCAACAAATGCTGCTTTGCTTTTGTTAATATATGGATCCCAATAAAACCATTTTGCACCTTCACAATGTTGAGTACCTTGTGTACATCAAGTAGTAACAATGCCAATTTAAGAAGCCATTTTGATTCCATATTGTAACACAACAAAATGCAGGAAAGTGAAAGGGGGTGTATGATTATTTCTGCAAGGCCCCATATAGGATTGCATGGGCAGGTCTTTTGGAACTAGCGGATATAGAGAAACTATCCTGTGCACACTTTCCTGGGAGTAAGCCCCATTCAACACAATGGGACACATTTAATGAGGAAACATGCGCAGCAGCCTTCCCCAACCTGACACCCTCTAGAACTGCCAGGCTATATTTGCATATTCCCAGCTGCTGGAGTCTAACAGATATGGAAGTTGCCAAATTGGGGGAGGCTGGAGTATGCAGCTGCACTGTCAAACCTGAAACACTTGCTGAAAAAGCAGCAGTATTTGAATAAGGGGAGAGGCTGAAGCCGGCAAGTCAGTGCCGTGAAGTGCTACTACCCTCGAGCTCTCTCTCTGTGTGTGTGTGTGTGTGTGTGTGTGTGTGTGTGTCACAGTGCTGAACACTATTGACTGTGTGAATTAGGAGTTCCACCACACCCTGTTACTGGGGTTAAGAGCAGCACCAGCTGCACCCATAACTGCTTAACCTTACTGAGGGTGGGCAATGCTGGTTCTCTTGGACAGCTGCCGTCCTGCTGTCTTCTGTGGCTGGTGTGTGCCTGCAGGGCCTGTTGCTTTGCACTTCATGACACAAGCCTGCTACGCACTGACCTTGAATTGCGCTTCTGGAGGCCCAGTGATGATAACCATCCTCTCACTGGCGTCCGGACTCTCGGCTGGTGCAATCTGTAAGTCACAAAGAACACGAGAAGAAAGACAGAGTAAACTTGTCCCAGCTTTCCACCCCCACCTTGAAAGATTGCATAGCTCATGCAGCAAGGCTAGACTACTGGATCCTGATAAATAGCTCCTGAGGTCAAAGTTCATTGCTCATTACAATGCTAAAGGTATATTATTTTGACTATTCTTGTGTAGACTGGAGGACGCAGCCATCTCTGAGTTTTTTACAGGCCCTAACCTAAAGATAATGCTGATGTGCCATTGTTTTGCTGGGTTTCATTTGGGGGGGGGCGAATGCTTCAGGGATGGAAAGGGAGAAATTCTTGCTGAAATGCTGCTTTTCACTGCCGACAGCACAGATTCTTCCCGTCTCTCAGCAATCACTTCAACAGGAGAGAGGGGTGGGGGCAGAATCATGCAGCCCATGTCACCACTGAGGTGGCAAATGCCACATCACAAAAGGTTACTCACAGGGAGATTGAGATGACTGCCCCACTTTTTGCTCCTGTTTGCATATTGCCTACAAGACCACAAGAGGGGGGAGGGAAATACCATTTTGCAAAGGGAAAAAGGGAAAACAATTTCTCTCAGTGTCCTCCCACCCCAGTTCTGCTTCACCACTGGTCAAAGAGCACTCAGCCAGGTTTTATAACTTGAAGGTCTCTTTCTGTGTTCAACACAGAAATGGTTGAACCCAAACACACAGAAGATGAAACCTACATAGGAGGCTGACTGTGTATTAAGGTCAAATGTAACTCAGCACTGGTAGAACTGAGAATATAAACTGGATAGGTTCAACAGTATTTTAGGTGTGTCACTGGCTATCTAAATGTACCAAAGGTTCTCATTCAGGATGATTCACACAGAGACTTCACTGATTGGCTAAGTATAACCTGAACTTTACTCACTTGTGTCCTGCAGGACTGGTCAGGTCTACTCATCAGCAAGCCCTGAGTCAGGCTTCATTAATGAGTCATTTCCCAAATAAACACCACCAGCTGTCTTGAGTGTAAAATCAGCCTTTTCTAAACCATCCTCCATTAGCTTGAGGTTTAGGAAATATCTGGCTTCTGCTAAGGTGCCCACAGTCAAGATCTTTGGCTACCCCCACTGTTCACTGTCCCTTTCCTCAATGCTACCCAAAGTTCTTTGAAGGAAGGATGGAGCACAAATGAAATTCATGAAAACAGAGGAGGCGGCAGCATGAGAAGGAAGCACTTGTTTTTCAGCAAGGTACAAAGAACTAACTGCACCTGATATGATCGGCCTTGGGCTGAAGGAATTAGAGCCTGTAGTGGACACAGTCCTACAGTACTTGATTTCTGTGATGTGAAGCATAAGAGACTGGAGGCAGTGAAGTGCAGAGGTGGGACCTATGAAGCCATCTTGGGTTTCTCCAGAAGCCTGGATAATTCCTGCTGTTATCTCTGATCTTGGACTTGAGGTAAAAGCAAGTGGTAGTAAATTCAGATGGTGCTTGGATGAGTGCCGTTATTTCCAATTTGGCTGAGTGACTTTGCACTGTGCATGTTGGGGATGATACGCAATGTATGGAGCCAGGGATTTTGGAGGCACTGCAAGGGTGGCTGCTCTTCCTTCTCTACTGTGCAAGCTGCCCTCACTGAACGCACCCTGCCCATGGCAGGCCTGGTGAGTAGCAGTTTGCCTCCATCCAAATAGACTTCTCTACCCCCCTCAACCGCCCCCCCCCATAAAAGGGAAGCATTAGCTGCATTTCTTACCTTGATTGAGGCACCTGCAAATCTTGCCAGTTGCTTAATGTGTTGGCCCTTTTTTCCAATAATGGCACCTACTGCTTGTGTTGGGATGAACAAATTCACCACCTCTTGCTCTGGTAACTGTGGAAGGCAAAAT